ATTCGGGGACATTAAGATCTGTAGAGAAGTGCCATCTCTCGATCAGACCCTGTAATTCAGTGAAAGGGTAAAAAAATATGCAAGAGGGGGTCACTCCAGTGGCTGGGAGTTTGAGAGGATTTTGCTGGGAGTTGCAGGTAAGTAGGCGGCCATTCGGCTGGTGTTTGACTCGGACGGGCCATTTTGAATGGCTGCTACTGTAGTTTTTATGGTTCTGCCATTACAAAGCGGGAGATAGAAAATAAAGATAGAATCATAGCTAAGGAACCTCCAGTGTAAAGCTGTTTAAGATTCAAGGTTTCAAACTATGACATTACAAAGTCATTAAAGTACATATGTCAGCGTTTAGCACTAATCGGCATTTACAATGAACTCATAATGGGCAATTTTATTTGAATCTCTCAGAAAAAGATAATTTATACAAGAGGCGCTTTGACTTTCACAGCATTACCAGACGGCGAGTCCTTTGAGTGGTTCCTTTCAGTATTAGACTTAATAGCCATAATGACAGTTAGGTGTTGACAATTCATTATATCATCATATATGGGATGATTGCTTTTTGTTTGTCTGGGAGATCCTTAAAGGATATTTTAAATGGACTTGGAGAAGAGTTTTCCTTGTTAACAGTTCAAACTGAGTACGCCCGTTAAGGTGACAGGATTATTACTGTCTTTCACAGCTGGGCTTTCTCTACACTAAACAACCTTCAATCTACTGTAATCAACCAAGCCCTCACTCTTTGCCCAAGACGAATACACACATGAATTATAAGTTGTAGATTTGGTTTGGAACAAATGTAAGCATACTTCGACATAAACGTCTTTATGCTGGGCTATAAACTGTCCACTGATGGTGAAAGCCGCCTTTAAAAAAATGCTTCCAATGCTCAGTTAGTTGGACCAGTAAAATACTGAAAGAAAATAATAACTACCACGTTTTGTTTATTTTGTTTAGTCAAACAAAATAAAAGTTAGTTTCATTTAATACCTTATATTCCTCATAAAGAAAAACAGGGTTGTGTTCAGTCGTAAATATTGTCTGCTCCTAAACAGGATTGTGAATACTTTTAATAGCTGCTGTTTGTAAAATAACATTAAAAATAAAGTATCCACATAGTGCTCTTCAAAATATTTATACCCCTTTGACTTTTTAAAGATTTTACCATTTTATAATCACAAGCTTAAATGTATTTTATTGCAACACCGAAATAGCAGACCCTAGTTAGAAGGAATGGAAAGGATCCCTGTTCACTTCATCATCTGAAAATGAATGGGTGTAAAACAGGTGCAGTGAAACTTGGCATTGTGCCTGGAACACCTCCCAAGGAAAGCATCCAGGGCAATCTGAAAAAGATGCCCAAGCCACCTTTTGTTGTTACTACAGGAGCCATAATAGTGGCCAGAACCAGTTC